TATGTATGTTCATGTATAACTGAAAAATTGTGCTCTACACTGGAATATGACACATTGTAAAATGACTATAACTCAATAAAAAAAAGTAAAAAAAAATCTCAGAGGATCTGAGCCCTCACAAGGTCATACACCCCTCGCCCCAGCCCTGTCCATTTGGAAATTCAAGGTAAACAGGAGTAACTGGAACACACATAACTTGCATGGATGATTTAAATAAGGTTTATGAATCCAAAAGAACATTTTTCAAAATTCTAAGGCTGTTCTTATTAAATCTCCACGTTCTAAATGATTTTATGCTAATTTTATTATTTTACAGGAAAAGTTTTAGGAATTGTTTTTCCCCACATCATCTTGACCTATATTCCTGATTTAGTAATATTTTACCAAAGTGACATAGAGATAGACATAAAAGCAGGTGTAATGATGGAGATGCAGGTATAGAATGACATGAGTGGATGGGGGATGGGGAAAGAGAGAGATCTGTTCTGTATGTATCTATATACATGCACATAAATGTAGGCAGATAGGTGGATACATAGATATATAGATAAGTAGGTAGGTAGGTAGGTAGATAGATAGATAGATAGATAGATAGATCGTTTTTCTGATATAATGCGTCATTACCCTGAATACATCAGTGTGTGCCTCCCATAGACACAAACACTTGTCTGTATGACCCTAAACTCCCTATTTGGAGGTCTACACTGATGCAACACTTTCCCGAAATCCTCACTCCGAATTCACTTTTGACCAACTGCCTGAGAGCCTCTTTTTTTCCCTTTGGTCCAGAATTTTACCCAGAAATCTATGTTGCCTGTGGTTGTCCTGTTTATTACTCTCCCGGAATCTGGAAGTCTCCTCAGTCTCTCTCTGTCCCTTGTGGCCTTGACCGCCTTCAAGGATACTGGGATTCATGTTGTCTAGGGGGAGCCCCAACCTGGTTCCCTCCAAGGTCCACTGCCGACCAGACTCGGGCCACGCATTCTTGGATGAGCATCCCAGAAATGAGGCTGTGGTGGCCTCCGTCCGTATCAGGAGCCTAGGACGCTCACCCTTCCCAGCCCTGGTGATGTGCCCTCTGACCACCTGGCCAAGCGAGTACCTGCCAGGCGTCGCCTTCAGCTTTCCCTTAAAGCCTGACTGGTTTGGAGATAGATGTTTGTGTCTTCGTCAGATGCCGTGGAACTGTTTGTTGCTCCTTCTGCAGTGATTAGTCGGCATTCTACTCTAAGGCTTTCTCCTCTTCCCCGTTTATTTGCTCACTTGCGCCTTCACTCACTTGGCGTGTATCTCTGTGAACTGAAGGACTTCTGCTTCATTCAGCGCACTGTGATCCAGTTTTCTCATTTACGCGGATGCTCAGCTTATTCTTGATTTTCCCAGAGGGAGTTCCTTTCAGCTGGCTCCTGTGTCATTCTGACTCGTCTCCATCATTCTTTGGGAATTTTTGCACTTTCTGGCATGACAAGATGCTCGGTACTCCCCCCGTCCCAAATGATGGGCCCTAATACCCTGTAACAGGGGGTGGTGTTTAGAAACCAAAATGGAAGGTAGGTTTGCTCATGGCTACTGGGCTGTCGTCGTGTCTGGGTCCTGCTGGTGGACGTAGCTGGGATGGATGTGGTCACACGGGTGTGCACAGACTTGATAACACTTACACCCGTAACTACTGCTATGCCTGTACTTTAAAAATGAGTTTATACTGACATTTCTAAATCCTGTAGAACACCTCAGGGTTTCTTCTTGCCAACTGCCTTTGCATATATATAAATCCCTTCACAAAGCTGGAACATCTTGGCTCCCATTATCCCCAATATATGTACATATTTTCTCAAAGCAACTAACCTCCCAACTGCTTCCACATCTTCCTCCACCCCTCACCACTGTGCCCACTCCCCACGGCTCTTGGCTCCTGGTTGACAATAACACCTTCTTGTGACCCCCCCCCATCTCCAGCATGGTCCCTCAGGTCCTGGATACCCCCACCCGTGCTACCTCCAGGCAGGACCCCTCCCCTCCCAATCACTCTTCCCGGGAGCCCCAGATCACTGTCCAAGAAGATTATGGAGTGGAAGTTGGGTGGGAAAGAACTTCCTACAAATTTTGGACTTTTTAATTTTAGAATTTTTGAAACTGAACGTTTGGCCATGTTTTTGGTGCCACATTTTGGATGGTTCCCTATGAAGCCAGTTGAAAGGTCTTTGGAGTAAGGTCTCCCCTCCCAGGTAGACCAGACCCTGCATCTTCTACCCACCTGACTTGCTGCGTTTGCTCTGCTGCCTGTGTCGGATGAGGAGGATGAGGGGGAGGGAGAGCAGCAAGACAAAGGTCACAGAGACCCCAATCAAAACTTTCTGGTACTTTCCAAGACCTTGGGCACAAAGGATGCAATGAATGAACCGATGATGCCATTTGATTGAGCACCTACTGTTTGTAGGTGTGTGCTGGGGTCTGTGCATTCATCTCTAACTCTCACAACAAACCTACAACATGTGAATGCCCCTCCCAACACCACCCATTGTGCAGACACGTAAACTGAGGCTCAGAGAGGTAAATCGTGTGTCCCAGGTCACCCAGCCCGGAAGTGGCAAGGCTGGTACCAGACCCTGGGACTGCAGGTGCCCTTGTGCTGTTCTCATGCTGCATTCCAGGCTGTCAGCCAGCTTTGGGTTTGGGGACTCCTTATTGATTGGAGTGGCCTGTCCCCTGGTCCTCATGTGTCCCAGCCTCTCCTGAGCTGTCACTCCCATTCTCCAACCATCAGAGGCTTCGGGGGACCAAAACAAGAGTGCTCAGAAGCGGGTCTGCTTAGAATGGACCCTGTGCCGTCCCCAGTCCCCAGTCCTGCCAAGAGCTGTCCTCCTCCCCTGCAGACCCCACACCTCCAGGCAGGGCCTGCCTGGACTTAAGGGTGAGCATCTAGGTGGGCCCATCCCATGCAGAGGGCTGTCACTTCCATGGTCTCACCTAAATCTCTTAGCAAACCTCTGAGGGCCCTGCCCAGGAGAGCCCCAGGTAAGAGACACACTTCACAGACAAGGAACTCAGACAGGGAGCTCAGACAGGGAACAGACTTGCCCGCGCCCGCGGCTGGGAAGTGGCAGGGCTCAGGTTGCATTGCAGCCCCACCTCCCAGCCCTTGCTTCTTGTTGTTTGATTCTGAGTTTTGTCACGAGAGCACCTCCATAAGGTCAGGCTGAGTACCACGGGGCTGATGGAAAAGCACCATGACATCAGGGTGCTCAGCGCTCTGTTCTTCCCTGGGCCCTTGACAACCCAACCCTGTCTGCCCTCCTCCTGCACCTGAGACAGTGACCTGCAGGGTCAGAACTAAGATGCCCCTTGAGAGTTGAGCCAGAAGTCTCCTCGATTGCAAACGGAGGAGCTGGGGCCCAGATGGTCAGGGAGCTGCCCCAAACCAGCTTCTCAGAGAGCGCTGGGCATCCCCTCAGAGGGTTCCGTGCACACTAGACCAGGACAGGAGGTGAGGGCGGGGGTGCTTCTGCCCACTGCAGCCGGGCTGCCGCTCTTCCAGGCTGAGCCCCAACACCTCCCCCTCCCTGACCCCCCACCCTTCAGCCATGCAGCTTCGGAACCCCAGAGCCCTGGGGTCAATCTGGCATCTCTGCCCCAGCTCCCAGCCCCCCGGGGACACAAGCCTGTGCTTGAGGAATGAGGGGGCATTAGATCCTCAGACACACTCTCACCCTGCCCCAGGGAGGCCCTTGAGTCACAGCTGTGAGATGGGCCAATACAGGTGGGACTGGGTCCCCCAGAGGGTCCTGGGAAGGGGGCCAGAAGAGGGCGAGGGACAGGAGCTCCCCACAGAGACCCCGTGTTTGATCACACTCTCCTCCTGTACCTGCTGTGTCCACCCCTAACCCCAGCGCGGCCTTCCCTACACACCCTTGGCGAGCTCTGGGGAAGGGCACGTGGAAGGGGAGAGCGGGGAGGCCCCCCCTCACACCTCTCAGGGGTGCGTCTCCCTCTGCATGATCCTCCCGGGACCTGCCCTTGGAGCCCCCTTACTTCCATACCGTACAGGGGCTCTCCTGGGCCAGGCCCTGAACTGATCATGAGGACACAGAGGGGCCGGGATGGGACTTCCTCACCTGAGAGCAGGAGCTCCAGGGGGTCGCTGGGGGCCGACCACACCTGGGGTTTGCTCCTGTAGCAGCCGTAGCATCTGAACGTCCACCTGGGGCTGGGGGGCACGGGGCCCACAGGGAACAGGGCCTGGG